CTCTTCATTTTCATCAAAGCAGTCTGGCAGCCCATCACACTGCCAGGCCCCTGGGATACAGCGCCCATTACTGCACATGAAATTTCCAGGAATGTTGCATTCATTTGTGAAGTTATTCCCTGGCAACAGTTGGCTCTCTGCAACACAAAAGAGGAAAGGTTACAGGAGATTAAAAAAAAAAAAAAAGGCAGCAAAAGCAGTCACTGAGCGAGCTGTTTATCAGCAGTTGAATCAACATGAGACAAACGGATCTTGACTCTGGTTATTCTGACGTTACTTATCAGTGTTCTGAATGTGGTACTTGTTAGCATTTTCTCTCTCTTAAATCATCATTTCACCTGTTCTCCATTCACACTCCTCATCTTACAGATTTTTTTTCTTGTTATTTTCTTTCTAGGAACATACAGGCAGCCTTCTTTGTATCCTCAGGCCACAGCAAAATTTGTTTAAAATCTCTCCTCCTTCATAGGGTCTAAACACAAGTGAAACAGAAGAGGCTACAGCAAATCAGCTCCATACCCCTATGTTTCTGTCAGATCAATACTATGCTCACAGAATATTTTGTTTTTACCTGCAGGCTGGAAACCAGGTAACACATTGGCTAACTCACACTAGCTTTTCAATTCAATTTTACATATAATGCTGCTAGTCAAAATCAGAATTGAGCTTCCTGGTCTTGATCTAGTCCCTTGGCATACATCTTTCCACAGGCAAGTAAGGTAGCTGGCACATTAGAGAGTTTGCCAAGCGGAGGAGGTTTAGTAGTAGGCCGCTACATATCAAGAGAACAGTGTGACAGGGAAGTCAGTAGACCAGCCTTTGAGGTTAAACACCACTCTAGCCAGTAATAGATTAATCTGTTGTGATATTTGCATTCTAAAAGTAATGCACAGAGTTGGAAATACAAATGCAAACTTAAATGAAGGGAGATAAATACACTTAAGTGACTTTAATAAGCAGAAGAAATTCATTCAGGGGGTGAGAGAAAGAATACCCTTGTCCCTGTCTCTGTCACGTCCTAAGGCAGTCCCAGACAACACGCTCCAAGCAAGGCCTTGTGAGGCAGGTGCGACAACCTTAACCACTGGCCACACACACAGAGCCAGCTGTAACACTCCTGCCAAGGCATCTTAAAGAAAGAAAGAAAGTGACAGCCTGTTAAAAGTAAGGCCAGGCTATGCAGCTGGCAATTTTGTGTCCTTTGCTTTTATCAGTTTCATTCAAACCTCAGTTTCATTCTCTGCATCAGTGCTTTTCTGGTCAAGTGAAAATGGTTTTGCTCTCTCCACGCTGCAGTGCAAAAAGGCTACAACTTGCTGCACACTGGAAAACACTCAGCTCTGGACTATTTTAGTACTACTGTCACATGAAAAGGTGCCTGCTCCCAGCAGCTGTTTGGGTAAAGCTCTACCCAAATCCACTTCAGGCCCAAGTCCCTAAATCTGTATCAGGGATGAGCACGGTCTGTCCTTGTCTTTTCCAGCAATGAAAAACTGAACAGATACGGAGATGCCAATAACAAACCCCAGGCTAGGGCAGTCTTAAAGTATCACTATTGACATGAAGTTTTGCAGTTTTATGTTCCATCAACAAGTGTCCTTTTTTTTTTTTTTCAAATATCAGTACTTGAACACATTCAAGCCAGTCTTTGTCACAGACTTGTATCTGATAAGCAATCACTAAGCCAAACTCGCCACTCTCAAACAGCTACACAGAGGGTGAAATCATCAACCTTATCAGCAAACAACTCACAGCATGCTAATCATGTGTATGCCTGCAACTGGAGAAAACCTACAGCAGTTATTACAAACTAAGGTAGGCCTTCACCAGCTTGAGATATGATAGCTGAAAATTCTTTTTAATGTAAAGGCACAGCCAACACGCCATATTCTTAAGATTTTTTTTATAAAGCATCCAAGAGCTTCAAAATAATCTTAACCTTCTTTCCCTGCTTGCCTAAAGAATAGCTTTCAGGTCAGTATGGTACCTCTGGAAGACTCTTCTGGCACTTGTAATTATAGCTGTTTTTAGAAAAAAAATTTACAAAACTGAAAGGTCCTGTCTGAGAAGTCTCAGATGTAAAATGAAGGTTTTAAACTTGACAAGAGAACCAGGAATTACCAATGGTTTTTTCCTCTCTCTCTTGAGATCTAAGCATCTAGGCAGTACATTTAGGCAGAAACAACAGAAAAGGTGTCATTCTTATTTGTGCTTTTGCTCTTCACTACTTTCTTGTCTGACCCTCCTACCTACACCTCCCCACTAACCTGCTCTACTTCCATATGGAAGCTGCATCTATTCAAAACCCTGCTGCCAACACCTAAGTGAGAACTCTTCTAGACTTCGTGACAAGTCGCTAGCTAAGAACAGGCTCCAGGTCTCACAGCTACTCGCCTTAACTGTCATCTTCCCTCTAAACACTGGGGTATTTCTGAGAAAACAAGATAACTGGATGCATTTCCAAGGACTGTAAGACCTGTGGAGATCAACCGAAGCTTAGCTCCTGTCAGATCAACTGCTCTATCTTGCCTACAAAGCTTCTGCAATGATCTTAAGGCTTCTTTAACTTAAAAACTTAGATCAAGCAAAATCAATTAAGGAAAGTTTTAGGTTTCAAAAAGCAAAATAAAATAAATCCCCCAAAGACAAAGAACTGCCTCTCACATTTAACAACCCCTTTAAATAAATGCTATACTTGCACTCTCCTAAATTGAAGGGACATTTCTGAGACAGATACTAACTTTCATTCGTTACCCAGCAAGATGTTTGTTTATAGGATTTCCTTTGTCATACAATAAATTTATCCTCAATGTTCTTCTAAAATAAGGACGTATTACTAAACTTTTTTTCTTTTTTAAATCAAACAGGAAACAAAAGATAAAGGCAGACAGAGTTAGTTATTGACAGCCCTATGCAAGCTTTGCTACAGAACTGGAAAACTCAATTCTGATTCAATCCTATTTCAAAGCAAGAGCTATTTCTCTTAAAATATGGCCTTTATCAGCTGCTAGAAAAGAGTCACAGGTTACAGACAAAGCAATTTTAATGTTACAGTCAATGCAGCTACAAACTCGTTATGCACATTACTCTATCTCTAAAGAATCCATGTGGATAAAGAACTGTCAAAACAATTGCACATGTGGAACTGTTTAAATTACATAGTTCCTTCTGCTCCCTTCACTTTGGAAGTCTCCTTTAACCAACACAAAAGCCCTCAAGGCCCACAAGGAAATCCTCAATCTGGTCCTCACCTCCCAGCCCTCAGGAATGCAATGTCCCTGCCTACTCCCTGAGAGTGCAGCCTGCTGCATAACTCAAGGGTACTCTGCACACACGCATGGCAAGGAGCAGCATCACACACATGTAGACAACAGACATGGAAAGGACCTAATCAGATCATCTCATCCATTTTTCTGGAGGACTGAAGCAGTGTTTTAATAAGGTCCATACAGATGTCAGACTCTGTGCAGCCAACTTGCTATGCTGACTGTTGGCAGTGGCAGAAATTCCTTCAATCTGGCAGGGCTGGCTTTCCAATAGCTGACATATTTACTCTGCAGCCTCTTTGACTAATTTTGAATCCAACCCAAATATGAGCTGCGTGGATGTGTTCAGTTAAGCAAAGGAGGAGGGGAAGAAGGGGAAAGAAGTATTCGATTTTCACTGCAACACATTGCTCACTTTAAAAAGCGTACCATCTGAGCTGAAAAAAAAAAAAAATAAAAAGTCTCATTTTTCACTTTGAAGGGGACTGGGTAAGAAAAGCCAATCTGTTTTAGTAGCCACTTCCAAAACTGCTGGCATCTAAATATTGAATACTGGCTAAAAAAGAACCAGGGAAAAAATAAATAAAAGGACAAGCCATACAGAGCACTTCACTCTGTATTAACAAAGCAAGTCAAGATATGCTTCAGCCCTTACCTGAAAGCACTCCAGAGAACTGGGGACATTATAGCAGAGAGCACTACCGATACACTGCTACTTCTGTGTCAGAAAGTGTAATTGGTAAGAGCAGCCTTTCTTTCTGGTCAAGGATTCTTTGAGGAAGAAATATCTACGTATGTGTTCAGCATCCTCATGAATAGTGTCAGTAATTTCAGTCTCTCTT